AGTATGACACAATTAACACATCACATAACCCAGCATACTCGAGTATGCTTGATTATCTTAGCGAAAAATTGTCTATAGTTGCTATGTCGGTTTGTACTTAAGCTTGCAGCAAAGTGCGCCTTGGAGCAAGGTCATAAGCCGAACGCAAATCGAAGAAAAAAAATCCTTGTCACAGTTGTCAATAATCTAAAAAAAAATTGCTTTTTTTGCTTTTGCGTCGATATTAATTTTGTTTTACTAATTAACGAGTAGGTAAATTAGTAATGGACCTAAAATAAAAGTTGAAAAATCGGGGAAAAAAAACGGAAACGTAACGCAAACCGATTTTTTTTTTTTTATATTTTGGGTTATAATTTTTCAAAAGTGACAACGGTCTCGATTGTAACCCGAACGCAAAAGAGAACACTCTGAGAGCTAAAACGAACTTTTCGAACGCGTTCGGAGTTCACCGAGTGTAAAACCGAACTCAGCCTAGCAATCGATAAAGTGCTTGCGGTACTAGTTGTATTCCTTTCAAGAGTTTGGAACACTCGAGCTACTCGCTCCGGTGTTCAGTCGCCCCCGATTTCGTAAGGATTAGATCTGTGGAGCATCAAATACTTTTCGGAAGGAATAAGCGCGTGAAGCCCCGGAGCTGTTCCGGAGCTCCTCCTAGTTGTGAAAGGAATACAACTATTGTGCTACAGGTGCTACAGTGTTGCCGTTTCGCATTTACATAGCAAATATGCATTTACAGAAATCTTTTTGACATTTTAAAAATTTAATTCATGTTTAGGAAAAGAGATGGATGACGCGAGCGCTCCTAACGACGAAAACATTCATTGGTCTTTTTATTTTCCATAAGGTGAGGCATCTTCCCCTACTTCCTCAATCAACGCTTAAACTGACATTTCTCCATGTAAAAATGTAATTTTAGGGAATACTTATCGTTAGGGCTCCCCTAAAATAGTTGAGGTTTATAATGCGTGATCCGTGAGGTATATAATGACTTTCTCTACCGAGGAATATATAGATTTTTTTTTACTGCTGCTAGTGGAAAATGAATAATTTGTAATCTGTGCTCTTATTATTTTTTTTGAACGCCCTCTTGAAAGTGATGCCCTCTATCAACAGCTTATGATAACTTCCTATGTACCTACAGAAGCCTGTATTTTTTTTCATTTGACGTATGAAATTGAAATTGAACCAATAAAAACATGACAATATCCTTACGTTATGACGTCATTTTCATTATTAACCTAGGTATTTTTCCATTATTTTCATTTTTCCTAGAAAAAAAGATTGAATAATGAATATTTCTCAGGTTAGTAGTAAAAAAATAAATTAATCTTGACCTCACAAATTTAAAAATCACATAACAAACTCCGTTCGTGTCAGAATTATTTATTGTTCTAAGCAGTTATAAGTTGAACTAGTGACGCCACAAACCTGAAATATCTTGCGCTCAGTTCAAGATAGTGCAACACAAACAAACAAACCTTAGAAAACAAGTTAGGGCCAGTTGTTGAAAAATAAAAATATAAAAAATAGATTTATTTGTAAGTTGTAGGGTACATATTTTTCGTCCATCGCAACGATCTTGGGGGGGGGGAGGTATTTACCCCCATTACCCCCCCCCCCTTGTATACGCCGGTGAGAAGAGAAAACTGGAAAAAACCGGAAACGCAAACCGAATTAAAAAATGTTTACAATATTTCAGGTTTAAACAGCCTACGTAACGTCAAGGCGAGAAATAACATGCTGCCTACGTCGCAACTGGTGATTTGGCGTGAGCCTCCTCACGATTGGTTCCACAGAGGCCATGCTTCATTCTTAGTTGCGCGAAATTCGCTGTTTTCTGACATTGCTTTCACAATTTGACGTTTATTACACACATAAAACGTCAAATTGTTGAAGTAATGTCAAAAAAAGAGCGAATTTCGCGCAACTGAGAATGAATCTTATTATCTCCTTCTCACTTGCGCGAAATTTACTCTTTTGTGACATTGCTTCGACAATTTGACGTTTGATACACGCATAAAACGTCAAATTGTCGAAGCAGGCCGTAGCTAGAGTCAAATTTGTGATAGGGCATGACAAATTTGACATAGGGCATACGGCATACACTACTTGCCCTCCACCCTCCCTTAAATTATAGGTGAACAATCTCTCTTCCCTAATCTAAGATAAATAACATCTCTGGCAAGTAAACAAAATGGCGCTGATTTTCGCGCCGCTTTAGATCATTCGAACCAAGGATAATACGATAATACACAATATAACATCTCTGGCAAGTAAACAAAATGGCGCTGATTCTCGCGCCGCTTTAGACCATTCGAACCAAGGATAATACGATAATACACACTTAGTGAAATCCATTGGTAAGTTTGTTTTTTGCACTTATTTCACCAATGGTTTTCGCCCTAACTACTACTACTACTACTATACCAGGATAGCTTATCATCATAAGGCCTGCGTATTTCAAATCTCAAGCTCCCCACTACGCCAAAGAACCAGTGATTACGTAGGCAGCGTCTCGTTTTCATCATAAATGTATATTCTAAACTACGACCGCTGGCGCAAACAGCTGACGACGTAGTTGATAAGGTCGTCAATAGTGTACACCATATGGCCGCAAATTCCACAAATGAGGCCGATAAGCAAACCTGTGTAGTAGTGTTTATTATCGAATTATCCTTGCATTTGCACTCTTTCGAAACGAATAACTTCCTCTGTGTAAACGTTGCATACATTTGGGAGTTTTCGGAACTCGCGCTTACTCGATTTGAAAGATAGGGCATTGCCCCCCAATGCCCACCCCTGGCTACGGCCCTGTGTCGAAGCAATTGACCATATTAGTTAGGTTAGGAAAAATCGGGCGCGAAATTTAAAATGGGTTCCTAAACACATTTCAACAAATTTGACAGCAATGTATTTCTTATGGGGGATTCAAAAGAGTGATTTTCAGACGGATATATCTTGGGTTCTGGGCATTTCTTAGTATTGGAACCTATTGTACATCAAACTTTGAACATATTTCTCTATAATTCATGCTCTAATTGTTTTTTTAGACCTATGAATTAAAAATACAAATGATTTTAATTAAAAGTGTCTGTTTTCGGTGGACGTACGTCGGGTCTAAAACCAGCTGAGAGAAAGTGAGGTTGTGTGTTGTGTTATGATTGTTGGTGAATTGTTTATTTATTTATTTATCACTAGTTCAGTCATTTATTTTTTGGATTATTGAAGTACATTTACTAACCAAGTATGTAGGTAAACTTTTATTTTATTATAATTAGGTACTCATATATACTTATGGATCAAGCAACGACATACGTATTTTATACAAACATCGGCTTCTTAAATTGGTAATATTTTTATTTTAACAATGTTTATTCAACTTTCAAACACTCTCTCAGTTAATTAACATATTAAAAAAACGATTTATACAACTCAATTCCGTAACAAACGTTCTATCACGTCTACAGACGCTTTTAAAATTGAGTCCCCATAAGACATCAATGTATTAATTTTTGAACTAGGAACCCGCGCCAATTTGCGATTCTAACCTAACTAATATGATGAATTAGGCAATTCAAACCACGTGACATTCAAGATGGCGTGGCGGCCACACATGGGCCAAAAAACACAAAAAAATATCTAGTTTCTGCCCGAATTAATAGTTTAGGTACCTAGTCAACAAATATTTTTATTTACGACTAATGTATAATGTGCGTATTATATTTGTGATTTTGGCAGTATAATGACATATGTTATTCCTCCAGGGATTAATGACGAGTAGCGGGATTAATGGTCATTATTCCACAAAAGTGTCAGTGTCAAACGTGTAGTGCTTGTGGATTTGTATTGAAAATTATGAGACGGATGAAATTTGTTCATTGAAAATCTCAAATAAATTAATTTGTCGTAAATAAAGTAGAGTATACTACTCGCAATAATGGCTATTATTCCCTCGGAATGTTACTCCCTCGCCGCTAACGCGGCTCAGTTCGTAATAATCCTCGGGAATAATAGCTATCATTATTGACTCGTGGTATAATCTACTATATTAAATAATTAAAATCAAAGTTGTAAGCAAAACTGTATGCAAAATAATTTAAAATACGCATAAAAACATATTCAAAACAAACTTGCTTGGCCGCCACGCCACATTGGATTTTCCTTTTTGACAGATGGATTGAATTGCCTAATATCAAAAAAAGAGCGAAATTCGTTCTTTTTTGACATTACTTCGACAATTTGATGTTTAATAATGCCTCATTCTCACTTGCGCGAAATTCGCTCTTTTTTTGACATTTCATCAAACATCAAATTGTCGAAGTAATGTCAAAAAAGAGCGAATTTCGCGTAAGTTGACATTTCTGGCGTAATCACGTGATAAAATGGTTGGGTTTTATTGGCAAAATATTTGAAATGTTGGATATTTTACCAATTAAATTACATCATATTATCACGTGATTACGCCAGAAATGTCAACTTACGCTCATGAGAATTCGCCCTTAAGCTTAATTCTCACTTGCGCGAAATTCGCCCTTTTTTGACATTGCTTCGACAATTTGACGTTTGATACACGCAATAAACGTCAAATTGTTAAGTAATGTCAAAAAAATAACAAATTTTGCGCAAAAAGAGCGAATTTCGCGCAAGTGAGCATGAGGCATTAGGCTCCCCTACAGTGGCTAAATTAACCTTTACATACAGTGGCGACAATATAGGTCCTGCCGCCATTTTGTGCCCAACCTCTTGCTACTTCTAAATATAAATATAAGTATAAGGATTTAAATGGACATCCATCAAAAAAAATTGAAAACAATGTATTTGATGTGCCCAATTTTAGTCATCGGATACGTTGTTTTCAATTTTTTATGATCGATGTCCATTTAAATCCTTATATATTCATTTTTGAAAGTAGCAAGAGGTTGGGCACAAAATGGCGGCGTTTTCCATCCACTCGGTCATTATTCGCTCAAACTATGGCCCAGCTAAAAAAAAACTTTTGCCAGCAAGTATCCTCTATGAATTAAATATGAAAATAAATATGAATAAAACAGATTTCTACTATTATTTATGCAGAATACTTTTTACCATTATAATAATGGCGTATGACGTTTCCGGTGGGTACATTATGAAAAAAAAAATGTATTTCCATGTGTTTTTTTAACTGACTGTCAAAAAGAGATGCAACTACACCTAGGGTGCATTAAATCTACCAAACGAAATCCATAATAATTTCAAAAATCAAAATGCAAACAGGTGCTAGGAAACCTAAATAGGAGCATTCAATTGTTTAAACATTACCTAATGTTTCCCTGACGACCTTTCTAACTTTTTATAATGAGCAAAGCAAATTTCATAGTCGGCTATAAATAGCCAAACTCCCAGGATGCAGAAAGCTTTTTCAATAAATCAAATAGTCGACGACATCGGAGAATTGAACAATGGTAACTCAATGGAACTGGACTCAATTGTATCAGTCGCAGACGTAGTAAAATTGAAATCTGATTATTATTCAAAAAACTACGACGAAAAGGAGTTGTGTTTTGGAAAAGACGAATTAGAAGAAGTGTGTGGTAATGCTATTACAGTGAAGAAGATAGACGACGAGGCATTAGTAAGTAAAAGGCTCAATATTCCTACTTTCCATAAATGCTTAAATTGCGAAACTCATTTTTCAACTAAATACCAATATCAAAGGCATCAGTGCAATTTTAATTCTGAAAATTATGTTTTGAAATCTTCCCAGGCAAGCACTGATAAAAATATTGATCACAGTTCTAATGAACAATATAAATGTAGCGTATGTCCAAAAGTATTTGCCAATAAAGAGCATTTGGGAAGTCATCAAAAGTGCCATAATATTAGCCAATGCGAATTTTGCTCCAAAAATGTAATAAGGGATAATAGATTGAAAATTCATAAAGAGAATCATTGTAAAAAAGCTGAAAATGCTAACAAGTTTTATCGCAGCGACATTGTTGTTTGGAAATGCAAAAAATGCCAAGAAATATTTTCCTGTCTACAAAATTGCAAAAACCATCAACATTTTTGCCAAGGTAAGCCAACTAGCGACAAGGATATCGAACGGACCTCGACAGAAATATTATTGCAATGCGAATTTTGTAATCGCACTTTTATTGATAAAAGGTTCCTACTCACACACCAACGTAATCACACCACAGCTAAAAACTTCGAATGCGTCAATTGCGATAAGGCATTTGATTCGTATCCCGTAGCGGTATCTCATTGGATCAAAAAATGCTCAGAATTCAGTAACATATTTTATCTGCCTAAATTAACTTATTGCGAATATTGCGATAAGACTTTCAAAAATCACGCTTTACTATACAACCATAAAATTAAAAAAAGACATTATACACAGAAATTGTACGTCTCTAATGTTGAGTTTGAAGATCAAGTCACAGAGGACAACAGTAAAGAAAATATGAACCAATTGATTGAAGATATTTTGGAGACTTTGCAAGTTCCCAAAAATATTAATGATCAAAATCACGGTGATATTGCTGCACATTTCATCAAAAAAGAACCTACTGATGAGGATGTCCATCAACAAAGTATTTTGAAGATCCCCTATTGCGACAAGAAACCTAAATATCAAAAAAAATCCCCCAAGGGTAAAAAATGTTTAATTACCACTGAGGAAGGGTTCAAATGGCAGTGCGAAAAATGCATTAAAGTATTTGACGTTATTGATAATTTGGAGACTCACAGGCAAAAACAACACGAATCCGTTTTTGCTTGCAGCACTTGCCCAGAGGTAAATTTTAATTTTATATTTTTCGGATTTTCCTAAATTTATCTCAAAATTCACAGGTGTTCCAGAGCGCTAGAGCGCTATTAACCCATACAAGGCATCATAAGAGTTTGAAGCCCTATGTGTGCGACATTTGCGGACGCAGTTACTCGCAAACCTCGCATTTGGGACAACATATGAGATTTCATCAGGGTGAGTAGGTATTTTAATTATATTTGAATTTCAATATACAAGGTGTATCTGACAATAAATTCAACAAAATTTGTTCAAAGATTCTTAAAAACAAAATAAGGAACCCGTATTTTTAATTTTTGGTGAATGGCCACCCTAAAATTCGACACATTGTAGTATTTTTTTTCTATCTCAAAACAGTAGGTATTGTACGAGAATCATTATATTTGGTCCACAGAGGTTTTATAACATGAAGAATTGGTTGGTGCTACGCTTTCAGGCGTAAGCCCCCTTTAAAAGAAACTTTTTCGTGGGGCCCCTGTCTTTGAGCCCACAAAACTTTGGTTGCGTTATACGTATTAGAATTGTTCAAAAAATATTTAGTTAGAACGCTTATTCAATTTAGAAATCTCTTGGAGTCTATTAATATTTTCGTTAAACACATGGTTTTCGAGAAAAATTGCAAAATGTGATCGAATGCGTATCTAGATTCATATGAAATTCTACTCGTTAATCGTAGGTGGCTGGAGTTCACGATGAACAAATAAATTCACTATCTGGGATTATCAGGAATATACAATTTCATACGAATCACGATATGCATTCAATCACATTGCCATTTCCAACAGAAAGTGTTTGACCGGTGTGAAATTAGCCTCTTAAGATAGCCTCCAAAACTTCCGGAAACTGCCGAACGGCCAGTGGCGTCGGAAATATAAGAAAATATTATAACCTAAAATCTGCTCGTACTGACATTCATATTTTCAGGACAAGCATTTGCTTTTTTCATAATAGGTTTGGAAATATCAAAAAAATCATATCTCAGAATCGGCTCGTGCTGATAGATTCATATTTTCAGGATAAATTATGACAAGCATTTGCTATTTTTTCACTTTAACACCATATCTCGATAGGCCGTCAGAGGGTGTCAAAATAGGGGTAAACATATCAAAAAAATTATATCTCAAAATCTGCTCGTGCTGACAGATTCATATTTTGAGGATAAATTATGACAAGCATTTGCTATGTTTTCACCCTTACACCATATCTCGATAGGCCGTCAGAAGGTGACAAAATAGGGGTAAACATATCAAAAAAATTATATCTCAAAATCTGCTCGTGCTGACAGGTTCATATTTTCAGGATAAATTAACAAAAGCATTTGCTATTTTTTCACCCTTACACCATATCTCGATAGGCCGTCGGAAGGTGTACCAAAATAAGGGTGAAGATATCAAAAAAATTATATCTCAAAATCTGCTCGTGCTGACAGATTCATATTTTCAAGATAAATTATGACAAGGATTTGCTATGTTTTCACTTCAACACCATATCTCGATAGGTCGTCAGAAGGTGTCAAAATAGGGGTGGAAATATCAAAAAAATTATATCTCAAAATCTGCTCGTGCTGACAGATTCATATTTTCAGGATAAATTATGACAAGCATTTGCTATGTTTTCACCCTAACACCATATCTCGATAGGCCGTTAGAGGGTGTCAAAAGAGGGGTAAACATATCAAAAAAATTATATCTCAAAATCTGCTCGTGCTGACAGATTCATATTTTCAAGATAAATTATGACAAGCATTTGCTATGTTTTCACCCTAACACCATATCTCGATAGGCCGTCAGAAGGTGTCAAAATAAGGGTAAAGATATCAAAAAATTATATCTCAAAATTTGCTCGTGCTGACAGATTCATATTTTGAGGATAAATTATGACAAGCATTTGCTATGTTTTCACCCTAACACCATATCTCGATAGGCCGTCAGAAGGTGACAAAATAGGGATGGAAATATCAAAAAAATCATATCTTAAAATCTGCTCGTGCTGACAGATTCATATTTTCAGGATAAATTATGACAAGTATTTGCTATTTTTTCACTTTAACACCATATCTCGATAGGCCGTCAGAGGGTGTCAAAAGAGGGGTGGAATATCTCAAAATCTGCTCGTGCTGACAGGTTCATATTTTCAGGATAAATTAACAAAAGCATTTGCTATTTTTTCACCCTTACAGCATATCTCGATAGGCCGTTGGAAGTTGTACCAAAATAAGGGTGAAGATATCAAAAAAATTATATCTCAAAATCTGCTCGTGCTGACAGATTCATATTTTCAGGATAAATTATGATAAGCATTTGCTATGTTTTCACCCTAACACCATATCTCGATAGGCCGTCAGAAGGTATCAAAATAGGGGTGGGAATATCAAAAAAACCATATCACAAAATCTGCTCGTGCTGACAGGTTCATATCTTCACGATAAATTATCAAAAGCATTTGCTATTTTTTCACCCTCACACCAAATCTCGATAGGCCGTCAGAAGGTGTCAAAATAGGGGTGAAGATGTCAAAAAAATTATGTCTCAAAATCTGCTCGTGCTGACAGATTCATATTTTCAGGATAAATTATGACAAGCATTTGCTATGTTTTCACCCTAACACCATATCTCGATAGGCCGTCAGAAGGTGTCAAAATAGGGGTGGAAATATCAAAAAAATCATATCTCAAAATTTGCTCGTGCTGACAGATTCGTATTTTCAGGATAAATTATGACAAGAATTTGCTATGTTTTCACCCTAACACCATATCTCGATAGGCCGTCAGAAGGTGTCAAAAAAATTATATCTCAAAATCTGCTCGTGCTGACAGATTTATATTTTCAGGATAAATTATGACAAGCATTTGCTATGTTTCCACCCTAACACCATATCTCGATAGGCCGTCAGAGGGTGTCAAAAGAGGGGTAAACATATCAAAAAAATTATATCTCAAAATCTGCTCGTGCTGACAGATTCATATTTTCAAGATAAATTATGACAAGCATTTGCTATGTTTTCACCCTAACACCATATCTCGATAGGCCGTCAGAGGGTGTCAAAAGAGGGGTAAACATATCAAAAAAATTATATCTCAAAATCTGCTCGTGCTGACAGATTCATATTTTCAAGATAAATTATGACAAGCATTTGCTATGTTTTCACCCTAACACCATATCTCGATAGGCCGTCAGAAGGTGTCAAAATAAGGGCAAAGATATCAAAAAATTATATCTCAAAATTTGCTCGTGCTGACAGATTCATATTTTGAGGATAAATTATGACAAGCATTTGCTATGTTTTCACCCTAACACCATATCTCGATAGGCCGTCAGAAGGTGACAAAATAGGGATGGAAATATCAAAAAAATCATATCTTAAAATCTGCTCGTGCTGACAGATTCATATTTTCAGGATAAATTATGACAAGTATTTGCTATTTTTTCACATTAACACCATATCTCAATAGGCCGTCAGAGGGTGTCAAAAGAGGGGTAAACATATCAAAAAAATTATATCTCAAAATCTGCTCGTGCTGACAGGTTCATATTTTCAGGATAAATTAACAAAAGCATTTGCTATGTTTTCACCCTTACACCATATCTCGGTAGGCCGTTGGAAGGTGTACCAAAATAAGGGTGAAGATATCAAAAAAATTATATCTCAAAATCTGCTCGTGCTGACAGATTCATATTTTCAGGATAAATTATGATAAGCATTTGCTATGTTTTCACCCTAACACCATATCTCGATAGGCCGTCAGAAGGTATCAAAATAGGGGTGGGAATATCAAAAAAACCATATCACAAAATCTGCTCGTGCTGACAGGTTCATATCTTCACGATAAATTATCAAAAGCATTTGCTATTTTTTCACCCTTACACCAGATCTCGATAGGCCGTCAGAAGGTGTCAAAATAGGGGTGAAGATTTCAAAAAAATTATGTCTCAAAATCTGCTCGTGCTGACAGATTCATATTTTCAGGATAAATTATGACAAGCATTTGCTATGTTTTCACCCTAACACCATATCTCGATAGGCCGTCACACAGAGGTCTAAATGTAAAAATTACGGGGACATTAGGTGACAAACTTGACTTCACTGGATATTGATAATATGTATGATTTTTTAGACAGAATAAAGTGAGACCTTATGTGTATATCAAGGTTTTTTGTTTGGTAGATCGGAATGCGATAAAATTGGGGACAACGGAGACAAAAATATAAATCCTCATTTAGTTAGAATTTATTCTCGATTATCTTCGAGTTCGTTTCGATAGTTAGTGTTGATAATATAATATCGTGTTTTGTTTAATTATTCAGGCATGTCTGCTGATTTGTTGGGTAAACTTAGTTACTTATTTCGTAGCACTAATTTTGATATAAATAATTTTCAAAGAAGTACTCAAAATTTTATTTAAGTTCCAAGAATGGAAGGCCCCAAAAAAAAAACCAAACTTTTGTTAACCGTCAAACTCAATCTATTTTAAAGCTAGTATTTCTGACTTTCTTGAAACTATATACTCAGCTGCAACCAGCTGCAATCTTGTGAAATTTTTATTTTTTTCCTCTTCAGGTACTGTTTCGGGCGTGACTCGAAAACAGTTATTTGAGTTTCTGAATGAAAATGGCTGGATGGGAAGTGCCAATTCTTCGATTGTGAAAAACAAGATGGGCGACTTTGTCAATCAACGCATCCCTACTGCCGACAAGGATGACCTAACCAACAGAATTTCGTGGTTTTCGACGCAAATTGCGTTACGTTGGAAAAGGTGCCACCGAAATAAGATTTACTTTTTGAATAAACATGAAATTTGGCTCAATGAGTTTGTTTATAAATCTAAGTGCCAAAGCACCTTCCAGCGACACGCAGAAAAGCCTTCGAGAAAGAACACAAGAGAATTTAGTGACGTTAGTGCTAGAACCAGGAGAAGACGAACACAAGAATTGGTTTCTCACCATAGTCCTGCTGAACTTGCGTTTGCTACTCAGTCTGGATATACGAAAAGAGGAAAGAGAAATGTTGCTTTCGTCATAAAAAAAGCCACGATTTCTAGTCCAGAAGAGTTGACTAAAATAAAACAGTTAGGAAGGTTCAACAACGAGATACGACCATTTTCTCCAGTAGACGCGTCTTTTTTTATGACGAAAGCAACATTTCTCTTTCCTCTTTTCGTATATCCAGACTGAGTAGCA